CTGGGTTCGATTCCTCAGTACCACATAAGCAAAAAAAGAAAAAAGCCGGAAGTGGCGCTGTGGCTCAAGTGGTAGAGTGCTAGCCTTGAGCTGAAGGGCTGAGGGACAGCACCCAGGCCCAGAGTTCAGGCCCCACGACCGGACCAAAAAAAAAAAAGAATGATCAAGACTTTAGACCCCAGCTTAGGCATTAACGGCTGAGTCAGCTCTAGAACGTGAACATCTAATCCAACAGACTCCACTCCAATTGGTGCTTGGCATCGAGACTCCACTCATCCCTCTGTAAACATCGGGCCCACTTAGGGCAGCCCCGAAAAGAAACAGCAAGGGGACATGGTCCTCAGAGGTGCGGAATGAGCTGCCACAGAAGTCAGATCGCAGCATGTCCTTGGCCAGTCCCAAGAATTACCCACCTGTACTTGGCCTCCCGTCCCACAAACTGGACCATGCAGCGCATTGAGATGACTGCGGAAGAAAAACACAGAGGTGACTTGGGGACACCAAGTCATGGCCCTGGCTGTGGGTGTCCTATGCAGAGTGGCCTGTATTACCGTGTGACAGAGGTGGGACTCAGCCTCCCCGGCCTCCCACCTCTCTTGGGAAGAACACCAGCTGCTTTTAGAAAGTCTACTTCTACTACTTCTCCCCAGCCACCAACCAGTGGTTCAACCACAGTCTCTCTACAGTCTGTGAGGGTTGTCCCAAGGTCCTCCCCCCTGCCCACACTGGGTGTGGTGTCCTTGGGGGGGGGGCTCACCATGCAGTGGGTGCGCCAGCATGCGGGACACACACTGCATCATCATCTCGTAGGACGTCTGCAAGAGAGCACAGGGGAGGGGCATGCCATCAGGCCTGACTCGGAGCTGGCACTCATGGGAAGAGCAAGCCCCATGGGAGAAACCTGGGGAACCAGTCTGCCCAGGATGCAGTCTGCCCCTCACCCCCTCTCCTTCCCCCAGCCAGGCCCAGGTCCAGGGCACCAGGCTGATCCGCCAGTGCCCTCTGGGGCTCCTTCCACACATGGTCCGCATGGGCCAGCACAGGGCCTACCCTACTGAGAACTGAACAGACCCCTGCCCAAGGCCTGCGGCCTGGCGAACGACACACCCACCTCCTTCACAACTTTCTTCAGCGAAGTCTTCATGTCATCCTTGTTGGACACCTGCTCAATCTCATCGGGAGGGAACACCTGCGGACCAAGCATGCACGGACGGAGCTGTCAGGATGCTGCTTCGGGGAAGACCTCCAGAGTCTGCAATGGCCGTTACCTCGGCAACCTCATGTGACTTGCAGCCTGGAGACCGCGGTGAGACAGCCACCGGCCTGGAGCTCCTCCCAGGCACAAGACCAGGGGAAGGGGAGGGGAGGCCAGGCCACCCCAGGCAGTGGCTGGGCGCTCACCTTCTTCATGCTGCCCCGGGTGACAGTGGAGAGGGCGTTGGACATCAGGCGGGGGCTCAGGCCCCGGAAGAGCCCTATCTTCCCATCCACCTGCACAATGTACTTGGCTGTAACAGAGCAGACAGAACCGTGTCACCCCACAGTTCTTCCCTCCTGCTGCTGCCGACCGCAGTTCAGAGGAAAACATCTGCTGCCACCTGGAAATGATCTCCAGTCCCAAATGTCACCTAGCCGGCTGCCTTTCATAAAAGCTTCAAAACATTTCCCCGACACACGCACTCCTGTCTTTCCCTTCCCTTTTTCCGACAAATTGAACTGTGCTTTCTCAACCCAAAAACTCAAGGGCTGGAACCCAAACACCGGTTTCCATTGCTTATGAAGTGTTTTTTCTCCCAGGAAAGGAAAAAGGGAGCCTGTCCCAGGCATGAAGACCTTGGCAATCTAGGGGGGGAATAAAGGATGGGGCTCACAGCTGGAGCAGCCACCCCCAGGACACCAGTAAAGAAAAAGGGGGTTGTGAGAAATGAGAAGCAGCAGTGAAGTTTCTGGAAGCCCAGGGCAGGTGGGTGTGCAGGCCCAGAGCGGCCTGGCCTGTGTGAGCCAGGGTCTCTTAGGTCTCGGCCTCTAGGCAACATGGTCCATGTTTCGTCCAGCTTCATAACCTTTTACTGCACACTGCATCACACTGGAAAAGGCGATGGATTTTTATAAATGCCTATCTGGAAGCTAACGGAACATTCTTTTATCCTGCGCTCCCCGCCCCCACCCCCTTTTTTCAGGTGACATTAGCTCTCTAGCACCCCACAGAGGCAGCCACATGCATATGCACCCCTTTCTCCTTGGCAACAAGTCGGCCAGCCCAGCAAGGCCATGTCACAGCCAGCCAGGGCTTCCCCGGGGCGGCCCAAGCGCACCTGCTACCTGTACACGTGGCTTTCTGAGAACGGATGGGTTGGAAAGGCAGGGGTGAGAGGGGAGGGGACCCTGGGCCACATGACCACTGAGCCACGGGAGAAGCTTTTGTGCTCTTGGATAAACTTCCAATAAAAACGGAGCAAGGACCCCCTACTTCTCCGGTTTCATAGTTTACGGACAGCGGAGCGGGGAAGGGTGCAGGGCCCCATCGCTCCCCAGTGCTGCAGAGCCTGGACACCCACTAAGGAAGTTTTGTTCGCACCACAGAATGACACGACAGCTGTGGAGCGTCAGCAGGATGCGGGGGAGGAGCAGACAGTCCAGACAGCCAGACTGTCTATTTGGCCAGACACCCGGCCCTTCCTCCTCCCTGGGCAGGTGTGGTGTCCGGAAGTGCCCAGTGGACATCTGCCCACCACATCCAGACTGAAATGACGTTTACATAAACCTATGGGGCGGCACTTAAACCCGGCTCATTGTGGTAGAGAGTCCCACAGCCCCATTCAGAGGCCTTTGAAGGGCTGTGACCCGCATACCAATGGTCAGGGGCCCAACCCCAAGTCTCCATCGACACGCAGTCCATGCAAGGGGGCATCCGGCCCGCTGCGCCATGCCTAGCGTTTATCTTTGTATAACAGCTTCACTCTACAAGGCTGGGGGCTCCTACATCTGCAGCCCCCTCCCTACACTGACAATCTTAAAATAACCACCAGCAAAGGCAGATTTCTCCAGAAAATGGTACTTTTTGCCTGCCCAACTTTGCCCTCAACTATTGGGGGGAGTCAAAAGAGGGATAAATGACTGATTCTGCCAACAGACAGTGAAGAGGTGACAAGCAGGGCAGGCCCTATGTCACTCAGAAGAAAAGCCTTCCAGAGAACCTTCTGGACTGGTCAAATGGGTAGTAAGAGCTGGAGTGGGAAAACAATCCACAAGGGAGCTCTAGCTTTGAACAAGGAGAGAAACAGCACTTTCAAAGAAGGCGCCATCTTGGTCACCTGACGAGTATGGAGACAGGAAAAGGGGCAGCTGCATGGGCCAGCTGGCCGCAGGCCCAGGGAAGACATCCCCTGGGGAAAGCCTGGGGACGCAGAGGGCAGGTGACGTTACTCTGCAGGCTCAGAGCAGGTGGGTGGCCGCCCAAGCTCACACCTCCAGACAAGGCAGGGGGCCAGGCTGGGACTCTGCACAGCGCCATGATGGGTATTAAAGGCGTTCTGCTGGGGAGCTCAGGGGAACAGGATGGCCCAGGGGCGTGAAAGGAGACCCTTGTCCATGGGGCCTGCTAGGCCTCCAGCTGATGAGAAGGGAGAAGGGTGGGGGGGTGGCGGGGCTGAAGGGGACCATTGTCCTGGACTGACTTCTCTGACACCTGTCTGTCCCCCGCTGGCGGGGTTGGTGGCGGGCAGCTTGCAGGCAGAGACACCGGACCAAAGCCGTCATGTTCACCTACTCCCACCTGCCACCTCTGGCCAATCTGTTTCCCCTCCTTGGTGCCAACGATGGGGGCCAAGGCTCACAGCAGGTTCGACGGGGCCAGCTGGCCTGCTCCAGCTTCCGGCCTGTGCTGGGTGGGGGCGGGCTTTCTGGTGGGGAGCGCACTCACCGTAGGTGAAGAAGCTTGGCAGATAGAGGACCTTCCTCCCCAGTACATTGGTCCCAAGGGTGGGGGGCATCGGCTCATGACCCACCTTCAGAATGAACAGAGACAAAAGGAAGGGTCCACGGGTGATTCAGTCACTGACTCCCCTCTCGCCCAGGCTTCCAATTCGTCTCCCTCCGATCTGCATGCTGCTCATCTCTCGCTTCCAGCACCCAGAATCATCCCCAGGGTTGGCAGCCACCAGCACAGCCTGCTCGCCCAGGAACAGCAAGGCCCAGCTCTAGCTCCTGGCCACACCCTCTCCTAGACAGCATTCCCACTCTGAAGTTCTTCAGACGCCAAATCTGTGTATTCTCATCCCCAGCACAGATTTCACTGCAACCTAATTCCAAGTGCAGCAAGGCCAGCGCACACCAGCCAGGTCTCAGTCCTCTGTAACGTCTTGCTGCGCCTACTGCAGACTCCTGCCACTCAGCCCTCCCAGTCCAGGCTTATTGACTGTTCCCACAAGTCTACTTGCTCCTCAAACACACCCCCAACCGTGCTCTAATCTTTATCACCCCACAATAGGGTGTACAGAACCACAGGTGGGTGAAGGACGGAGCCAGCCATACCCAGGGGTCCCAATGTATGGGGAGATTTTCTGCCATGCAGGAGACCAGTGCCAACTCTGTGCCCTCACAGCAGGCCAGCCCCTGATCAAATGGGGAACCCCTGGAGGTGGCAGAGGACAAAGCCTGCAAAGCACAGGTCGGGAAGTCCCACCTTACAAAGTGCATCAGGTAGTCTCTGAGCATTTTTCTGGCTCAAATTCATTTTTTTTTTTCTGTACCCTAGTATAGGTGGCTACCTTTTGAAAACCCAGTTGTCCTTTGTGGATGTGATTCTGATACACGATGAATTACTGACTGTAACTTTAACTACCTACCCCCTGAAGTACTAGGACTGTCTTTAAAAAAGGCAAAAACAAAACACTTCCCAGCCCAGGACAGCTGAGCAGGGACAAGTTCCTTTCTAGGCCTTTCCCCTTTGGGGTTTAGAGCTGAGATGGTCTCCTCTTAGATAAAGGTAGCATTCTTCTTAAGCCCCACCTCTAGGCTTCGGTTCTTGCTCTTCCCTGGCCTTACCGCTCCAACCACAACAGTTTGGGAGTCCCTCCACCCCATATCCCCAGGGCTTCCAAATCTGTGAGGCCCATCAACATCAAAGGAACACAGATCTCCATTTTTCTCACCTCCCAGTGTTAACTATTTGTCTCCAAGTCATGCTCACTAATTGCATCCTTAAATCTGTTAACCCAATCCTGACCACAGCCATGCTGTGGCCTGGTAACCAGATACTGGCAAAGCCAACCTACCATCTTTGAAGCTCTACTTACTCCCCAATTCCAACCCCTATGGGCCCAGCTCTAAGGCTCTAGGACTTACTCAATGTCGAGTACCCTCTGCCTGGCACTCACTCCTGCTCTCCCAAATGGTAATCTGCCTTCTTGAAAGGTGTTACTGTACTCCCAAGCTGTACCCATTGACTTCACCCTGCAGAAGGCTGTACTCAGACCCCCCCCAACCCTGGATCGCTCATCCTTACCAGCCCAACATCCAGGGACTCTCAATCTTGGGGATCCCTCATTGCCAGGTTCCTTTTCTAAAACTTTTTTTCTTTTTTGTCTGACCTGAGACTTGAACTCAGGGTGCTGTCTCTAAGCCTCTCTGTGCTCAAGACTAGTGCTCTATAATTAAACTACAGTGCCACTTCTGGCTTTTTTTGAGTCGTTTATTGGAGATAAGAGCCCCACATGAGGTGGGGGAGGGTTGGGGGCTGGGAAGTGGCTCAGTGGTTGAGTGCTTGTCTAGCATGCATGAAGCCCTAGGTTAGATTCCTCAGTACCACATAAACAGAAAAAGCCGGAAGTGACGCTGTGATTCAAGTGGTAGCGTGTTAGCCTTGAGCAAAAGAGGCTCAGGGACAGCACCCAGGCCCTGTGTTCAAGCCCCAGAACTGGCCAAAAAAAAAAGAGTCTTGCGAGGCCTTTTCTGCCTGGGCTGACTTCAACCTGCCATCCTCAGATCTCAGCTCTGGAGCCACTGGCATCTGGCTCCCAAAACATTTTTCTTTCTTTTCTTTTTTTCCCAGACCTGTAAACACAGTGATGAGGCCACTTCTGCACCCATCTTCCTGTGGAGCCCACCCGGCATCCTAGCAGACGCTCAAACCTCCACCTGTCACTCTGCAAGTCCAGCCTCATCCCGCCACACCCCACAAGCTCCCAGCACCCTCATTTCTCAACTCAAGCACCCCCAAAACCTCTAAATCCCAACCAAGTGTTAGTCTTCCCTGGTCAACCATTCCCAAATTTCAGCCACAAATAAGACTGTAGCCAGACAACTCATGGCATCTTCTCATCCCCTGTCAGATTACCCCCATTCCTCAGACCCCGCAGTGTGAATGACTTCTGTTGTTAAAGTCCTTGTTCCAAACCTATGTGGCATTTTTACAAAGACAGTAAAAACCTAACACCCACTTCCCTTCACTCCGATCAAACCTCAAACCCACTGGGTGGTCCCTCACAAATGAGCACACACCCCTCTCCACTCTGCTGAACTGGAAAATTCTAGCCTTCCACTTCAGGTGTCTATCAAAACCGGGCGCATCCCGGCCACGCCCACCTAGTTCGCCAACAGCGCACCTCTACACGAGCCTCTTCCCGAGCCCCGCATCTCCTCTTAACTCCACACCGGCCATCCTGAAATAGGTGAGCTGCCCAAGCCAGCGAGCGCCCCTGGAATCCAGGTGACCCTGCGTGGCTCCCAGCGTGCCCCTTCTGCCCGATTCCAAGACCCCCAGACACAAGAGCTGCAACTCCATTTTCTCCTCCAAGTGCGTCACCGCCTTCTTCCTAAAGCCTCCAGGCTTCCCTCCCTCCGTTCCCTCCCCCCCCCCCGACGCGTCTCCCCTCTTCCCACCAAGTCTGCCGTCACCGTGAAATCCAGAACCCCCATCTCCGGTAAACCGACAGCTCTCCCAAGATGAACGCTCTGCTTTCGCGCTGAACCCAATACCAACTTCTGCCCTCCCCCTTCGGATGCCCTTTCTTTCTCCCCCCCCCCATTTTTGTCGCCGGCGCCCACTCCTTTGTCCCCCACAAGCTGCTTGTAGGTCCATCCCTGGAAATGCAAAGCCCCGCTGCCCTCCGCCCTAACTGTGCTCCCCGCCTACTGCCCTGACCCCCACCCTCCACTCCATCCAAACTTCTCGCCCCTCCCCAAATCCAATCCCAAGCCCACCGCCTCCATGTCCTTCCCTCCCAAGCCTGCCACCCCCATTTCCGGCATACACCCCCCCAGATTCCCTAGCTCCTTTCGCCAACCCGTCACTCAGGCCCCTTCGCGCGCTCTCCTGCACCCCCAAACCCGACCCCGACGCTGCCACGCCGCTCACCGCCTTCCCCTTCCTCCCTGCCCTCGCCCCGAATCCGTCCCGCCGGCCCCGCTGCCCCAGTCCTGCAGGCCCCGGCCTGGGCCCGTCCCCTCGCCGGCGTCCCCCCCTTCGCCTGGCGTCCGCCCGCGGCGCCCCGGGCCCGCACCTGGATGAGCAGCTTCACGTAGAGCAGCGGGTGGCTGAGCGCCGTCACGCCCGCGCCCAGCGCCACGAAGAGGGCCTCGGTGGTCGGGGCGTTGTCCCCCGAGCCCAGGCCCCCGGACCCGCCGTCCATCCTGCGGGCCGAGG